ACTCCATTCTCTCTAATCAGCGATTTAGCATTTTAAGTGGCTTTGGTATAGTGCCAGTGAATAATGTTTGTTCTCTCTCTCTCTCTCTCTCTCTCTCTCTCTCTCGCTCTCGCTCTCTCTCTCTTTCTCTCTCTCTTTCTCTCTCTCTTTCTCTCTCTCTCCTCCTCCTCCTCCCCCCCCCCCACCACCACGGCCCCGCACATTATCATAAAATATTCCCAGGCATATTTGCCGATATGAACTGATTAACCGGAGGCGGAAAATCTGCTTACTTTCTGGAAAAAGTGGAAAGCCATATGCATTAGCTTCAAACTGACTGCCGTGTTTTCACTAGCTCTTTTCGAGATACTACCACTGATGAAAGGTCTGACCTGGTTGACGGGGCGGTTAAAGGACGAGCACGGGCACAGACACGCGCGCACGCATACAAAAACGTGCCGAACTGACGGTGCCATATACAAGTACTATACCTGTGGCATGTTCTGATGATAACCCGCAGAGGCCGGGAAATTAGGTGGGGTTGGGAGCGGGAGGGGGTGAAGGGGACTTGTCTGATGACATATTTGCGCTGGTAGTACTGAAGTCATAAGTGCTGTTGAGCCAATTTATCATCGTGAATTAATTAACTGCTAATTACTGTGCAAGAATCGGATAGATCCGGGAAGGAACTGCAAGACGTCTTAGCATGGCTAACTGTGAAGTGTGAGATGTTTGTTGGTTGTTTAACTAGCGGTATACTTGTAACTCTTGTTGTAGTTGCTACATTCATTCATGATGTACATTTGTTTCATTCATCTGCACTATAGTAGCTAGAATAATCCACGCTATACAGTTGCTGCATTCATCCACACTAAAGAGTTGCTGCATTCTTCCACACTATAGAGTTGCTACATTCATCCACACTAAAGAGTTGCTACATTCATCCACACTATAGAGTTGCTACATTCATCCACACTATAGAGTTGCTACATTCATCCACACTATAGAGTTGCTACATTCAACCACACTATAGAGTTGCTACATTCATCCACACTATAGAGTTGCTACATTCATCCACACTATAGAGTTGCTACATTCATCCACCTAACCTAACCCCAGTGACGGAAGATTCTTCAGCTCTCTGCAAAACACCTCTCCCGCTATGGAGATCACATTTGTAACCCGAAAGCAGCTGATGTCTTCTTAGCTAAAAATTGTAATTTTATAACACCGTATTAAATTAATAAAATGCTACCTACATTTGTCACTGCGTAGCTATCATCGGGAAAGGCTCAGCCATGGGCTTAATGAACATTCAAGACCTAAAACAGGTGGCAACGAACCGCCAGACATGGAAAGCAATGACCTCTGCCCTAGGCTCAAGAGGAAATACTAACTAACCACCTACCTTTATATTTTTTTATTTAGTTATTTATTTCTTAGTGGCCAATCCAGTCAGTAAAATATTTCTCCTGTTTTTAGTGTACCTTTTTGTTTAAAAAAAAAAAAAAACAGCAAGAACTGCACTAGACAATGAGTACATTGCAAGATACTGTTGACACAGTGGCTCTGAATGATAAGTGTAGTTCAGTCACCGCCAGCTGTACATGTTGGTTCCGGAATCCCATTCGGAGGGAAAAGAAGACACCCAGTGCTTCCACAACAAAAATGTAGTACAAGGTGACTTATTATAGGTGTTTCCTTCGAAGCCGGAATGTATCTGCCTGAAAGGTGTCTACATAGAAATAAGCCACATCTGGAAGACGGATGTGCACGCAAAACTTCTGGAACAAGACAAATTTACAGCCGATGAACGCTAAGAAGAAGAAAAAGAAGCACTACCAGATAGTAGTACCATGTGGCTAGGAGTCAATTCTTCCATTCCGCTCTACCCTGTCAGTTGTTACAATATCATATATAATATATGGAATCCGGTCCAAGACCTTTAGCCTCTCCTATCATCGTTCGTCTTGGGGGTTCTTTTGGTCGTCCTTGCCCAAGCAGTCCATTTGTTTCCAGTCGAAGTGACCGGCTTGGGAATACTCTAATCCCTTCTTATGAGGGCGTGCCTATCATATCGCCATCTGATGTCTTTATAACCCTTGATACCAGCGGTCTTGACATGTCTGCTACTGCAGGTGTATGTCTGTTAAATATTATATATATATATATATATATATATATATATATATATATATATATATATATATATATATATTATAGTTGGTTATTTTTCACGGTAACTAGGGAAAGAAGGGCTGCTTGCCCAACTAATCGGCATGAATTTGTTCAGGTAAAGGTAAAATGTTTAGGTGTTAGATGCTTTATCTCTTGTTTGTGTGTGTGGCTGTAAGTTGGGTTTGAACCCCCCCCCCCCCGGCCACTTTTTTTTTTACCTGCACGTAATATATAGGATATGGGAAAATTACTGTTCAGACTAAAACCAAACGCCAGCAGACAAACAGAACGACATGAAAACAGACCGGAAGAAGCGAGCATGGAGCTGCTTGTGTAATCAGCATCGCCCCATACACGACTTCCTCCCAGGTTTGAGTCAGGTGTAGAAGAAAAGGGAACACAGAAACCCGCCCTACACTTTAAGCTAGACGTCACTGAAATCTGATGCCGTTATTTTCTTTAAAACAAACAAAGATATCGCATGTCCTACCATCTAGTTCTGCTGTTACTCACTCCTCCCCTCTCCTCCTCCCTCTGTCTGACCCTGGAGTCTCGCTCCGTCCTCTCTCTCTCTCTCTCTCTCTCTCTCTCTCTCTCTCTCTCTCTCTCTCTCTCTCTCTACCCTTCCTCACCTTTTCTACGTTTTACCTGTTTCCCTTAGCTGCAGAAAAGAAGGCTGCGGCAGAGAACAAGGTCAGACTTACGATGTGGAAGACGTGAATGGAGGTATTTTCCAGGGCTGTTCAACTAAGTTAATCAGGGGCCACAATTTTGAAAACGATCGTTTAGGGCCATAGACCTGAGCCCTAACATTGAAGTATCAGAAATACAATGGCCCTGGCGATGATACGTGGGCCATTTGCTAGCCTTCACGGGCCATATCTGGTTCTGTCAGGTTTAAACGCAGTTTCTACACGTCTTTGTCCCACTTTAAATAGTTTTGAGTTAGTATCTGCTTTCCTCAGGCAGAATGTTTTGCTGTTGAAACTCTCAAGGTTAATTATTTTGCTAAAGCTTTACTTTTTATTAAATTAAAAAAACACAAATAATCCGTTTTACTTGGTACAGAATAAGCACCATCGCCAAAAGAGAGGTTATTTATTCAGATCAGGGCCGTCTTAACGCATGGGCCAGCTGGGTCCTCACTAACATAGGGAGGGGTTCTATTTGTAATCATATTATGCATTGTTCTCTTCTTACCAAACATGTCTTCATTTAACACCTCATATAGCTGCTTTTGTTAGCCCACCGACACTTGTCACCAGCATCAATGAGCGGCGGCCCACCCCCTATCCTTTTCTGTCTTCTCCTCTCCCTATAATCAAAGATGGTTGGCGACATGGAGTCTAATAGAAACATCATTTGCCACGTTGAATAAATACATGTACATTATCATCGAAATGTACCGTTTCCGCTGACAGACCTAACAGCCCCAGCTTTCCTTTAACCGCCCGGTCCTCTCTGCCTCCCTCCGTCTCTATTTTCTGTTAAATGTCAGTGAGAAACAGTACAAATCATCATCATTTTATTCATTTTGCTTTTGTTTCACAAGAGATTTGTACAAATATGTTTCAACAAATAAACACTTAAAAAAAATAAATACAAAATAAAAGATTATTTAAGGGCAAAAAAAAAAAAAAAAAAAAAAAAAAGGGAGGGGTTCTATTGGCATCTGTGTATGTCCTGTGGCTGACATCAATCCAATTATATTTGGTGTTGAAATTCTTCTTCTTCTTTTGTCAAAATCTGCTTGTGCCGCTAGGCGTCGCAGTCTATCAGATGATCGGCAACCGAGCCAGGGCGCGCTCAGTCACTTCATATGCCGTGATGTTATGAAGTCTCAAGTTTTCCGTGACTCCTTCAATCCATCTTCTTCTTGGTCTTCCCCTGCCTCTTGGTGTTTCGATTTTCATGTTGTATGCTCTTGATGCTGGCATCGTTGATTCCATTCTCATTAGGTGACCAAACCATTTCATTCTTTGCTTCTCAATAAATTTAACGATGGGTATGGTTCCAATAGTTCTTGTAATCACGTCGTTTCTCACTCGATCTCTTCTGGTTTTATTCGCAGCCATTCTCAAACATCTCATTTCACAGGTGTTGAAATTAATTCTGTATAATATGAAACCTGTCGCGCAGAGTGTATAAAACAGCTGAAGAAGAGAATACGAAGACACAGTATTTAACAATAAGTTGAAACGTGAACAACGGAGTGGTGCCTTAGTAAAAAACCGAGTGGTTACTCTGTTCACTATCATATAGTCCTTTGAAACGGTTTTTATGCCACCAATTGTCCAAACAAGAACCTTCCTTTCCTAAGTCCAAGTTCAATGATGGTCAAAGCTGATGACTGAATGAGACAATTGTAACAGCAAACGAAATTATGGATATGTTACCTCCGCATGAGATAAATGTTTAAGTCTAGTGTGTTGTTAGGCGACTATGTCCTGTCTAAACAAAATGTACAAGCATAATAAAAATTTGGACCGCTGCACATGAGGAGATACAGACACACATGGTGCCTTGTTTAATGCTGAACAAGATCAAGGAGAGGACAACTTGGCTTTAACTGGTTGAGGGCATATGCTCCATTGATTGATATAGGAGATGAAGAGGAAGGACTCTAGTTTTGGCTGTGTCTTTGCTGGGGTCCATAAGAGTACTACACATCATGGTAGGTGTGTCTGTCCTTTGCTTTCCTGATGGATCCCAGTATCAACACATGGGTGATTCTTGGCTCTGCCATAGTTCATTTTTTAATCTTTTTGTACAGGATGCTAGCAATTTCCCCAACAGTCAGATAAGTGTGTAAGTGTTGTAACCAATATATTGCTTGTTTACAGGATTCCATTCTTGGAATGTTGAAAGTACAGGCATTAACATAAATGAAGAGCTGGCCCAGATTGCAAGTGCAGCATCCTTGGAAGTAGAAGATGCTAATTGTAAGCAGATTGCATAATTGTGTTCTTTTTTTTTCTTTGTATTTTAAATTGTTGCTCCTTGACAGTGATAAAGTGTTAACTTCTGTTGTCATAATGTGTTAGCCATGCTGTTATTTGGACTTGACATCTTTTAAGGACCTGTGTTTGTGAAATCCATTTTAAAATTATGATAATTTTCATATAGCTGTAAAATTTTACAGAGGTTTTTTTTTTTTTTTTTTTTTTTTTTTAAAGGATTTAAAAAGGTTTAAATATAATAGAAAGTAAATTTACAGAAAATATAATCTTTCTAATTGAGAAAAACATTTGGGAAATTCAGTATAGTGGTAATTTTTAACTTTACATGAAGGTTTTCCCCCCTTTTCAAGTTGTAAATATTACATTTTGTGAGAATGTATTTTACTTTTATTGAACCCGATAACTGATATTTTGTACTATCCTTGTTTACTTCTCTGGAGACAACGCCACAGATAGATGTTAGTGACTTTGCAGAGAAGTGCCACCCAAGACAGTTCACACAAGGCATGCATTGTATGGAATGACCAGACAACATCACATTACTGAAACATCCTGAGAAGGCAGAAGCAAACTTCTTTGGACGGTGCCAAACCCCATGAGCCTTAGCCAGGTTTAGTTGGGGAAAAGACAGAAAAAAAAGAAAGAGAGAAAAAAACACAAGAATTTTAGGTTATTGAAGTTTTATTTGGAAGAGAACTCTCCTTGCAAACAATAACATCCCCTCCTCCATTCTCATCACCATCCTAGTTGACTCTTTTAAGGAGGGTAAAGTGATGTTACGTTTTCATTTATTTCATCTAATTGCTTTTGTATTTATGTATTTTAGTATTACACAGTATATAAGTTATTTTATATACTTCAGTATATAATATGCCAATAACAATAGGATTTTAAAATAAAAATGGGAATGGATGACTCATTCTCCCTTTATTTCTTACGGGAAACTTTGTTTGGTATACGCCCTGTTTGGTATACCGCCAGGGATCTGAAACAGGTTAAGTACATTTACTGAGGTACCACTGTAGTTTGTAGCATATTGCAGAAATTGCCCTCTGTCAGCTGTCACAAAGGTTGTATAGCTAGTTCACAAGTTGTAACCTTATGCATAGAAGGCACTCATGTCCATTCAGACTGTCTGCAGGCCTCACAGTACAGAGTTCAGATCAAACTGGACCCAGATGGTTTCTGGTAGTTAGTTTCAGAGTTAGAAATTTTGACTCTCCTTCGAACTTTGTCCCCATATTATGGCGGCCAAACAAATACCCTAACAGGGCCTCATTCCTGTGTAAAATGCACAGTGCCTGCGGAGGAACAAATCGCGGCAAAACTAGGATCGCCTCTGAATAATGGGCCAATATTATCGAGGGCAAACAAATGCTCTAACAGGGTCTCAGCGATATGTTAGTTGTGGACCTGTTTCTGCGACTATGCCGCACCGCTGACAGTATCCCCTGCGCCGCTATGCATGGCACGGATGGGGTGCTAAACTAGATGGCTGGGACTCCCGAGCAAATAAATTGGAGGAAGTTGCAGGAGATGCGGTAGCATCTGCTCGTGAGTCCCAGCCATCTAGTTTATTCCCCCATCCGCGCCGCTACGCGCGGCGCGGTGGATACGCTCCGCGGTGAGTTTATTTGGAAGAACACTATCGCTAACCTGCGTCGGAGCGCAGGGTCTCCCCACCATGTCGCTATTATCACATGTATTGTTGTGTTTCTCAAAATTGTCAACGGACAGTAATCCTAGTTTTGCTGCGATGTGTTCATCGGAGGAAGTCTGCATTTCACACACGACTGAGGCCCTGTTAGGGTTTTTGTTTGGCCGCCATAATATGGGGACGAAGTTCGAAGGAGAGCCGTAATTTTCAATGATAAAAGTTCCCTGTATGGGTTCAGAGGCCCTTTTGTGGGGACATAAGGACTAAACCCACTGCCTCCTCAACAAGCACGTCATAGGAGTTGACTAACTGGGAGCATCCTTTCAAGTCTGCCTTTACTGCCCAGGAGATTTCCTGGTACTTATTTTGAGCCTGGAAAAGCGTGGGAGCCATGGTAAACACCAGTGAATTTCTGCACTAGTCTTTAAAAGCTCAGATGGCTAGGACCCACTCGGAGGGTAAAGGCTAGTAGATCCCCTAAGGACATTCTTTGTGGTGAATGACTGGTGGGTAGAGGTCTGCCTCTACTATGATGTAAAGATATGTGCAAGTGGGACATGAATAATACATGTATTGAGGTGGATTCAGGGGAACAGGACACCATGGATCGCATTGCATAGGGGGGGGGGGGGGAGAGAAAATTACCATCAGAATAGGGAGAAAAGAGAAAAGGATTGGAGACATGTTAAGAACTGAGCATCTGAGGAGAAACCTCTGATACATGTGATAACAGTAGTCTTGAAATCTGATGCACTTATTGTGGAAGATTCTTCTTAATGTGAGCAGGTCTTGCAAATCACACCTGCCATCACCATAGGCTGTGATTAACACATGGCGCTATGGAACTCTATCATGTGGAAAGATGTAAAGATGCCAACATATGGTACAGTAGAAGACAACTATGCCATTATGCCAGATAGTCCTGGTTTATCTGCCATCTGCTCTTTTTTCGTGGAATAGATGATGATAAACAAACAAACTTTGTTTATATAGGATAATGTATTGGGGGTGCAGGCATGTCTTATATTGGGCCCTTACCACCACATATTTCTTCTATATTCAGCATCATGCATGTTAAATTTATTTGGCATCAATTCAGTAGTTTCATGTTGATGCCTTTTACAAGTCTGTATATTTTACAAGTCTGTATATTTGTGCATTTGGTACTTTACTTTTAGGCAATTATTATTTGTTCTCTGAGATCTTTTTCCAGTTAATTAACTTTCTTCTTAAAAATGGTATTAAATCTTTTAGAGTGCTGAGCTTGGAAAATTTTGTTTGCAAGAGGTTGATGATTTTGGTTTACCTCTATGATCTCCCTCTAGTTCACCATCCATACACATTTATATCTCATTTGAATTTATCATCACCACTGTTCACTATCGTGATAAATGCTGCTGTATGTTTCACCTTCCTGGATTATTTTATCTCTGTTCATTCTGTAAGCTGCTGTTGTGATTAATCAAGAAAAACTAAAAATTGGAGAAATGTACAATATTAGTCCAGAAGCTTTTACACCCCAGTGTTGCAGTTGTACCAGATACAGACTTCTCTCACTTCAGCTCAAGCCCACATGAGAAAGTTCTTCTTCTTCTTCTTCGCATTCATTGGCTGTAAATTCCGGGGGCAAGTTTTGAGTCTTCGTCCACCTCCAGTCTTTAGTTTTATTTCAGAATCGAAGTGTTTTATGCACATCTGTTTCACAGATCTGGCTTATTTATATGCACTCTTGGTTGCTTGCCTCTCAGACAGATGTACTCCGACTTTGAAGGATACGCCCATTTAGTCCCACTCCTACAACATGCTTGTTGCGGAGGCAGTGGGTCTGTTCTTGTTTTCCCCACACTGAGCTCCCTGGAAACCGCACAGGGGAAAAAAGGAGGTTTAATCAGTCGTGTTGTATTGTCCTCGTCAGCATCATCATAGAATATGAGATAAAATATTCAGACGGGTATACTATTTGTTTAACTTTCTAAAGCTACCAGCTACTTTTTTTTGTCTCGAAATATTTCATTGTTGCTTCATTTGTTTGCAACGTTTTGTGACTTCATTTATTAGTTGGCATCTGTGGCTGGGTGGTTATCAACCCCATTTAATTATTCTGACATCCTGGGTTTGGATCAACTCCAGGCAGTTAGCAGCAGAAAGCTTTACATTGGTTTTCACAAGGTATGAGCAGTGAACTGTTCAGAAAGCAGTGGCAAACTGCTAAACCTGAAATTGCCAGTTAAACCACAAACAGCCAGAAAATGCTGAGTATGGCCTGTGGCATCCTGTAAAATATATTTGTTGATTATCCTGTTGTGCCATGATAGGTCACACAAACCTATTCCTCCATTCTGTTCTATCCTGAATAATCAGTTCCATATCAAGAATGGAATCCAGTCTAGCTCATCAGTGTTCGTTTTAGGGTTTCTTTTGGGCTACCTCTCCTCCTTAATCCCTATTTGGTGTAAAATATATGCAACTATTTTTTTTAATGTATATAACATTTCTATTCTTAGCATTCTTGCTATGATTATATTGATTCATGATTCATAAACAGCACATTTTGAAGTATTGATGTTAACATCAACTTAACTTTTGATGTTTGTTGTTTTATGTATATATTATATTCAGTCAATTTTGTTGTGTACTTCTTTTATTTCTATAGCCGGTGGCAAACCAGGTAAATTTTAACTTTCAGAATTGTTGTGTTAATCTGTTTACAAATTGTTGATGTTTACATTCACATAATTTTGGCCCCATGAGCCCTTGTTTGTATTGTTCCTTTGTGGTAGCGTATTTTTGACACTTGTCTTCTACGTTTTAAGGCACCATGCTAGCTTAGGTTTGTGTTAACGATGCTGAACTTCACCAGTATGTCACATTTATGTACATAGGCATCAGAGCTTCACTTGCATGGCTGCTTGATAGGAGGCTGTGTGTATGTGGAATCCCTGCTGTTTAACTTAGCATCTACATTTTTAAGTGAATAAACTATTGACAACATGTGTGTGAATTCCATTAGTGATGTGGATAGAGAATTGGTTAAACTGCAAAGTGGCTGCCACACGGAGTTATTTTGTAAATGCACTTAATGTGTCCAGTTTCCAGCGATAGCTGGTCCATGTGAATTCTCCTGATGAAAGTTATATTGGGCTGTGGGGAGGCCTGGCAGTTAAAGCCAGAGATGCTGTTTCTCATTTCCATACGACAAAGCCTTGGTAGTATTGTACAGACCACGTGTCGCCCATGCAGCCTGATACCTCTTTTGGCCTGCCTGGTCTGCTCCAAATGGAAGGTAACAAGAACACGTTTGGAACAAAGCATGCTGCAGAAGCTG